CATTAAGATCTGTTAATCGATTGCAAACATAGGGCTGCCCGGACTATAGAAATATGTGCGATATAAGAGTATGAGGCCGTAGGGCTATCTATCTATATATATAATATCGGGTGTCTGTATGTCTATTATCGGACGAAAAGTTAAACGGCTAAGGTCATACGTTAAAGGAGGAAACAGACGTACAGTGTATGCACGGGTTCTTACTAGTATATATATAATAATGCGTACGTCATAAGATTAATCAGAAGAAAATTGTATGTGAAATTTATAAAACAATAAAAATACAAGAAAGTGTAATGATGATGCGATAAATTTGATTTTCTATATCAAGTTTATTTGTTTTGTGAAATATAAAGTCGTCGAAATAATAGATCATTTTAACTAATCAAAAAAAAAATTGAAAACTATTCGTTAGAAATTTGTTGCCATTTAATTCATATCTCTATCTATTTCTATGCTAAGATGATTTTTATGCTAAAAACAGTTCTCCGATGATTGTGCTGTGATCTATACAGTCGAGGACAATTGAAATTATACCCTTTAGCCTAGAATGCGCTGCATCTTTTGGTATATTGAAATTGAACATCAAATGCAGTTTAAAGTATAAAAAGTGTATTGGAAGAAAAAGTGACATTTCTTTTTTTCCAAAAGATGCGCTGTGAAAAGCTCTACAAAAGCTGGATGATCAAATTTCTTTTTACCTATTCTGATGGTTTTTCTTATACTCAAAATGAATAACTTACATGGTGGTGTCACTACCCATCATTTCTGAAAATACTTCAAGGACTTTTCTGATTCGCTTATCGGATTTGGTCTATACAAATTTTGCAGAACTTTCAACGGCACATCTTTTAAAAGAAAATTCAATATTTCATCATTTTTCCAAGTCGAGATGTATGCAGAACAGAAAAGTCTTTCAACATTTCCAGTATGATCGGAAGTGACACTGAAATGTAAGCTGTTCATTTTGAGTGTAAGAAAAACCAACAGAACAAGTAAAAAGAAATTTAATCATACAGCTTTTGTAGAGCTTTTCACGGCGCATCTTTTGGAAAAAAAGAAATGTCACTTTTTCTTCCAATACACTTTTTATACTTTAAACTGCATTTGATGTTCCATGTAAATATACCAAAAGATGCAGCGCGTTCTGGGTTTTCTTCCTATATATAGTAGGTTAATAGATAAAAAGCGTATAGTAATAAAAGATAAAAAAAGTCAAAGGGTATAATTTCAATTGTCTTCAACTGTATAATTAACTTCTAGTTTTATTTGCTTTGGACTGTATTTAGTAGTGAATCTCATTGTTTTTTGCTGTATAACAAGCAAACGATGCTGCTCTACTATTTAAACTTAGGATATTCATTTCACCATCACAAGATGCTCCTTTAGAAAAAAAACATCTGTCATCAAGTCATAAAAAACATGTAGTAGAGAAATTTTGATCAATTTTTTATTTACTAGAATCATCGCTCAAAGTGAAAGAATTTGAGAAAAATAATACGAACCTTATCGGCATATAGATTTCTTTATATAATAAGATTACAGCTTCCGCTTGAAGGCAATGAAATTGATAATGGATTGAAACTAGTGATTGAAGAAGCAATCCGTATTGTGAAGGAAGGAGAGTGTTGAAGTTTTTTTACAATGGAAAAATATCTTTTTTTCTAACAGAATGCGAAGAAAATATTTTTAAATTTTGCTAAGGGAAAAAAAACAATTTTTCTTCATTAGAAAACATGTAACAATGAAAAATATCAATATTTCAAAAGAAAATATTACAATACCATTTGATGATGAATATGAAGGTCGAACACACGAGCGCAACTCATAATTTTCAAATGTTCATTGGATATGTGATGATGTTTTTCTCCTTTTTGTTTTTGGATAAAATTACTTATTAAAATAAGCTTATTTTCTTTTTCAATATCAAAACATATTCACTCAGATTACTTATAATGCTCGCTAATGAAGTTATGCTAAGAAATCCTTTATAATAGAAAAAAAAGCAAAAGCTATCTTTCATTTTTTTTCCTTTATGAATAATAATTCTATAGAACTAGAATAAGCCTGTTGAAAAGTATAAATACAGATTAAATAAGGAAATTACTAATAGTCTATTATAGCATATTTTTAAAGCAAAAATTACTAGTTACTCTATTATAAAGCATGTAATGGATAATTACTTTTATCATATTTTTGTACATCAACTACAAACGAGCTATGTTTGCTATTGATTAAGACCACTTGTTGAGCATCTCTCGAAGTTTGAGTGATTTCTAAAAGCCATCATCGCTGTTTCTGTTTAATTATACTGTGATATGACGCATGTGTGAGAAATAATCAAGATATTTTTCACAATCAGTCATATCGAAAAATAGGAAACGTTTTAATTAATTCTGGCAAGCACATTTGTTTTTTGGACATGATCTGCTGTCTAGATCAAGACCCAATGTTCTCCAGCTGTGCGGCTAAGTTCAAAAACACTCATCTTACAAACAAGCAGATATTATGACAGTTATAATGCAAGTCAGTAGAGAAATAGGAAAGAAAACCTCAAGACAAGAATGAAAACAAATAAAAACCAAAGTACGAACACGGAAGCTTAACAACTATAGCTCTTTTTCAAGTTGTAATCTAGGAAAATCTAACGAGAAAAAAAAGTGTTTTAATCAGTAATTGAATACGGAACAATAATATAGATAAAAGGATGTGGATGTGCATTTCATAACAACTTATATTTAAATGAGCAATAATTCATTTAAATTAAAGGTAAATTTTATATGAAAAGGGTATGAGATCTCAATCCTACCATACGTATATATGTATCACTTTATGTATATCTCCTATATCTGTATCCATATAAGAAACGTAACGCTATATATAGGGCGATGACAAATGCTAGGAAGTCTATAAGATGAAAAATCTCATAGATGATAAACAACGAAAGGAAAATCCATAGAACAGCACGAAAAAATGGAAGAGTTCATCCGATATATATGTGAGGAAAGAAAAATGTCAATCTTTTCTTAAAATTATATTTGCAAGCACATCATTAGTATATCCATCAGGTTAAAATATTGTAACCTTCTACTAGAGATAAAAAATGTGAAAATCTGTACAAAAAGAAAAAGATGCAGATCATCTAAAGTAAAAAAAGCTTTATTGACACAATAATATACTATGTTTTCATTTTCCTTTTTCTTATTTTCATTGTAACTAACAAGAATGTAGTTTTTCTTTTTTCTATTCCTAAAATATGAAATTACTACTGCTATTTAATGAATTAATTATTGTACATTTAGTAATATAAAATTGCTCGAATAATGGTTTTTTATTGCTTAAAAATTGTTGCTCAAATAAATACTAGCCTTTCATAACTACCCACCGATACCCACATCCTCAATTTTCATGCATCCGTTAAAATCCTAGCAATTAGTTCATCTTCATTCTATTGACGTAAATAACCAAAATATGTAGAAATTATCTTCAAATGAAATTCGTTATCAACAAGAATCAAATCAAATACAATCGAAAAAAAATTTCTTTTTCTTTTTTTAGCTTAAACAAATTACTAAAATATTCATTTGATGATAAATATTGGGGACGTTCTTGTTTATGTAAAGCTCAATGACTGACATATTGAGCAAAATCTTCAATTCCCGTTGGTTGTTTAAATATCAATTCCAATGAGATTACTATTAGAATATTCATTAGAATCATAGATTTTGTGGAGTTTACATATATTTTCGAAGAAAATCGTAGGTGTAAGTTTTGAGTCGAAGTTTTTAGGGCTCCGCTCTCTACATCCCATAGACGTGACGACAGACTTATTTGTTAGTTAAATCAGATATTAGAAGAATAAGAACAAAAATAATAGGAAATTAAGAAAAACGAAATAGAAAACAATGAAATCAACAACAAGAGAATAGCAAGGAGACAAATAAATAATAATGCCAGTAAAAACCAGTGAAAGAAAAAATTTCTGTTCAAAATGCGAGGGTGGGGTGTGGGCGGGTATGGGTGTGGGGTGTGGGTGTGAGTGGGTGTGGGTGTGGGTGTGCGTATATTCATTATCAACCTGCACCATACACCCACACCCACACCCTGTTTTCATCATAAGAGTTTTATATATTCGAATGAAAATGACAAGTAATAAAAACGTTCTGCTTTCAATAGTGTAGACCGGTTCCTTAAAAAAGTATGACTTTGATTGCCAATTGAGGGTGAAGCGTTAAGAGGTTCTCAGTTGAAACGCAGACATCGTTTATCTTATCACTGTGAAAATGCTGACAATTTTATTCTGGTATGCAGATATAAATAAGTGCTAAAAAATCTCAAAAGAGTCTTGATTCTGTTAAAGATTAGCGCCAAAAAAAGGGTATCGGAGTGACGAAAGGTTTTCCCTCAGTTAAATCACAGAAATCATTTATTTTCTCGCTGTAAAAACGCTCACAATCTTATGCGGAAATGCTAATAGAAATAATTACTAAAAAATTTGAAGAGAAGCCAGATTTAGTTAAAGAAACGTCGAAAAATATGAGGGGAGTGGCAAACGTTTTTTTTTTGTCTGTCGAAACGTGAAAATCCGTCACTTTCATAGCGTAAAAAGGAAAACAAGTTTACATATAATTTTGCAGGTTAAAATCAGTTGAAAAGAACTATACAAAATGTATTTTTTCGTGGGCAGACACGGTTGAAAAATTTTCTTGTGAAGATGGTACACGAAATCGGTTTGTGAAAACGCGGTAAAGATCGAGTTTCTAAGCGTTCTCACGCCTGAAGTATAAAGTGGCCATAGAAACGGTGATAAAGTAAATAAACTATGCATGTCAACGAATACGAATAGTGGGAATAGTGAATGTTGTCATGCTCACGTTGAATTATTAACGTTTTGCAAGACGTATGGAAAGATTTTTTTCGGCGCGCATTTCAACTCCATAAAAATGGAAATTTTGTGCATTTATACACGTTTTCCAAGGTTCGTGACTGTCTGAACAGGTCTACATAATGTTACAACATTTTGAGTGATCACTATTCGTGATGGTACGATTCATATTTTTAAATTGTTTGACAGATGTCAACGTTGTGAGTCCTTTTTTCTCGATTAAACTTCTGAAACGAGCTAATTCAACAAGTGACAAAACTTCATTAGCATGTTGATGTGAATCTTGTTGAAGTAATAACAGAATTTGTTGTGGTTCACCGTTCATGATGTATTCATTCAGATAGATTAAACTCGAACCATCAACATCCGTCAAAATACGAGCCATTTGTGTAAGATTGTTTTCTAAGAGCCAACTATGTACGTGTGAACTAGTCCAATCTCGGATATTTTCAGGAAATATCGTCCGTGTCGATGGTAATTGCGTCAGAGAACTGAAGGGAATCGATTGGTCTGTATGATTTGTTTTCGGTTTCGTAGATGCTATTGTCGCGTTATTATGCGAGTATGCAAATTTGAGTTCTTTGAATAATATTTCAATCGCTTTGGAAAATTCATGTTTAGTAAAATCAATATAGAGCAATTGACTAATTAGAAATGAAAGCCAACCATCCGGTTTATAATGTTTCTGCAAAAGAATTGGTATCATTTTAAGTTTTCGTTGAAATGCATATTGTGCTTCTGCTCGACAAAAGTTGCTTCTCTGATAATGTTCACTCATACAAATAATAATAGCATGAGATTGTTCGATAGCTTGTGCCATTGCATCCATCACATTGCCGTGCATCTGATCGAAATCGATCCATATTCGATATCCAGCTTGAACGAGTTTGTCATGCACTTGCTTACAGATTTGCTGATCTTTATGTGAATAACTAATCATAACATCAAATCGTTTATTATTGACATTTTTTGATACGACATTATCTTCGTGATTCGAATCTAAAAGCCACAGAATGCCATTCACAGCTCTACGAATGTTAGAATCACTCGATTCGTTTTCAAGTTTAGCTAATTTGGCCAAGAATGAAGAATTTGATCGAAGTTGTTCTTGAATCGATGCATTAAATGACAGAGACCAGAGAATATCATATATCATTGGATAATTATCGCACATCTCGACAAAAAATAATGCTTTCTTAAGATGAGCTGTTGTCGTTTGAATTGTATCGTTGGTTGACAAACTCAAGAAACCTAAATGACATCTAACATCAAATATTCCATTCATTTATTAATTTGTTTTTAAAATCGAATCAAGAGAATATTGTTTATTCTCAATTCTAATTTCCACTAGGTTCTATTTCATTTATTCGAAACGTATTAGCAAGCAATCGACAGAATCGAGTATTCCTTTTTGAGCATGAGAACAATATACAAACAGAGCCTTGCATTGTTTTCTTATGCGTTCACTCTGAGAGAAACTCTTACGTAAAATAATTGATATAACGTAACATCTCGAACTAATAAATAAGTCTGTCTTAACATTCATCTTATGTTTTAGTATATCGGTAGCTTTTTTAGTTGTATAACTATGTTCTAATCAAAGTCTGACAATACGATAGTCGATTTCTATAACATAGAAATATACTAGAATAAAGTTTACCTTTCAATAATAGTGGAATTGGGATTTTTTTCCATTTTTTTGTCGGATGTTTCCATGCTTGCTCAAGAATGTCAAAGAAGAATTGACATATGTTATCACCAATTTTGAGTTCTTTCATTTGTTCATTTGAGAGAATTGCGGCTAGAAATCCATAGGCATAGAGCAATGTTCGATCGTAGGACGAAGCTTGTGCTATTGTTAACAGTGTCGCAGGTAAATTCGTTTCTGAACTTATGAAACAACCAAGATCTTGTGTCTCTACCGCCGCCAACAACAACATTAAACTTGCATTGATGAGAAGATTTTCGTCAGTGTACCGTGAAATCCCGACATATCGATGAAATGGTGGATGACTCACTATACGAATGAATGCCAGAATAAGACTATGGGTTGTGTCTTCAGATGGAATAAGCATTTCAATATGTTCGGCCTTTTGACCACCCCACCAACAAGTTGAAGAAATGAGACCGGTCAAATGCGCGACACAAGAAAGTAATTCTGTATTCCATGAATTAAGAGTATTACTTTGTATAAGAATCATTTGTGAATAATCATCACGGAGAAATTTGATTATATCTTGACTGGTAAATGAAAAATTCTGGGATTTAGATAAAAAATAAACATTTAGTGAGAAAGAACAAGTTTTAAGATAGAACATCTGTTTCTTGGTAAATACTAAATTTGAAATATTTGATTCACATAGTTTTTGCAAGTAAGATTTATATTGATCAGTCATCACGAAATCACGACTCAATCGATTACTAATATGAATAATATTTGGTGAACATACAACATCCGACTGTTCAAAAACAAAGTAGGCGAGAATATCGAACCAAAGACTGGACACTGTTACAAATGTATCATCACCGGTACTGATTTGATCGAGTACACCATCAATCCATTCATTCTTTGATGGAATCAATAATGTCGCTTTCGTATCAGACTGAATTTCATCATTAGTTGAAATCAATTTAATATTCCATGAATGAAGAGCATCAAATAGTTGGTTACAACTCTGTTCGTCGATCCACCGTCGGTAATCTTGACTCAATACTTGCCATGACCAATGTTCGAGTGTGACCAAAGATTGTAATGAATTAACAACAAACGATGATATAGATTGACAGATTTGTTCTTTGAGAATGAATGCAATTTTATTCATTACAGTGGTCGATAATGGTGAGATGGCAAGTGCAGCAACAAGTTGTTCGAAACTATCTTCCATCGTTTATTTTCTTCAAAACAATTTCATCGAATTGTAAGCAATAATACGTGTAATTTAATAAATGTAAACAGAAAGTTAACAAGTGTGAGTCAAACGTGCAAACGAGAGAAATTCTGCTCACTGCACATGAAAGCTGAAAACCATGGAAATTGTCAAAAGAAAGAAAGAAAAATATTCTCTTCTCTTTAATTGATGTATGAACGAGTAAAATTTTAACATATCCAACTGCACCACTAAGAATCGTCAATGAGTCCGAAGAAATCAGTCGAACAACTGCTGGCACAAGTGAGCCAGGCAACACACAGAGAACGAGCAGAACGCAAAAAATATTAACGACGCGTTCCATGCGCAAGCTCAAACAGAATACAAGAATACATTATTTTGAAATTACTCCAACTGCGTAACGTTTTCAGTATTCTGCCCTTAACATCATCCTTTTTTGGTCATATTTCAAACCTTTTACCAAAATGATCAGCAAGTTGGAACTCGTCGTGGCGACTGGTTTTTCTTTTTCATAATAGTCTCTTCTTTTTTTTGAACATTCATCCGAATACTCAACTATTATACTTTTCATTATTGCATTGATAGTAATATAACATTACGGTTTGTTTATTGTGGGTGTCATCATAATGTACAACTGTGGACAGAGAACAAGAAGATGCCGCGTTTGCTTTCACCATCTGTGTCAACTTACAATTGCTCATAGCGAAAAATATCGGAGGACAGATGCGGTCGCATCAAGTGAATCAAACACGCTAGCTAAAGAACTTGGGATCACTTCGTACAGACACTACTCACCGAATTACATTTTTTGGAAAAAAATCAAATCGAGAGGAAAACTATAGAGATGCCGAATACACATTATCAGTAACTTACCTTGAAAATCCCAGCTAGATTATTTTTCTAAAAGCTAAGAAGAGGGCGCTGCTATGCAGTCGATTGACAGAAGGCGTCGTCGTGGCAATGCACAAAGAGTATGGCGCATGTAGTGGATGTCGACCTTTCGCATGCGTATCTCAATACGTCTGAACATAAAATCTGCTTGATTTAAATTGATCATTTGTGCGTGGATTCAACTTATCGAATCAGCTCAAAGTCAAATTATATGTCAAAAAACTAAAAAACTTTTATTCGAAAATAGAAAAAAATATTATTTGCATAATAATTGAAAGTTCGAATCTTTGTGGAATCTTTAATTAACACAATTTAATACCGGTTCTTGGTACTCGTAATGTTGATAAATTTACAAAGGCGTTTAGTTGATACTCGTCAATGAATAATGCATTTGGAATTCTAATTACTAATAACTTATATAAGAGATTTATTTAATGTCTTTCAATTTAAAAACTTCTCATCCATTAAAAATGTTTTATGATTTTATTGATAAACTGATTGCGTTAACACATTCGACCCGACTCAGTTTTTGTAAAATTTTTTTCAGATTGTTCATTTTCGTGAACAATTATCTTCTAATAAATGCACTTAATGACCTTTTGGCTATATTCTACTGGTTATTTGTCGTTCTCTTGTTTATACTACTAAACAATGAGTCATTTTTTACTGACCAAGTGACTAATGGCTTAAGTTAGTTTTTCGTTCTTTTGTATATTGTACGAAGCATGTGTGAGAAAAAGAAAGAAATTTCCAGTATTTTCTCCCTTATTCTCTTATCTATATCGTTTTGCATATAAATACAACCGAATTTTTGGAGCACTTCACATGTCGTTCGAAGAAATCGATACAGAAAGTAGTGCTAGTTCATTCAGTGAAGTGAGTTCACTGAATGATGAGTTTGATACAACACACCTTGATTTTGACAATTCTGACGAAGAAATTACTGACGAAGACAATAACGATAATATGAATTTATATGCCTGGAATGAAATAGAACCAGAATCTGATGCAGAATTCTTGGAAGATCATGGGCTTATCGGGGATGTAACTTCTACTTCAGAAGATAACACAATTAATCCTATCGACTGCTATCGACATTTCATTACGGACGAAATTATTGACCTTATGGTTCGTGAAACTAATCGATACGCACAGCAATACTTGCAAAGTCATGTGATCAGTAGACGATCAATGTTTCAACGATGGAAACCAACCACTAATACAGAGATGTTCAAATTCTTTGGAATAATTATTGAAATGGGATTAGTACAAATGCCGAAGCTGAAGTATTATTGGAGCTCTAGTCCATTATATGGATCAAAGATCATTCAAAATACCATGTCAAGAGAAAGATTTGAATCACTCCTAAAATTTTGGCATTTTTCGAATAACAATGACAAGAATTCGAACCAAGATAGACTGTTCAAGTTGAAGCCACTCTTAGATTTACTAAAAGAAAGATTTTCATCAGTATATATGCCTGGCTCAATTATCAGTATAGATGAAAGTATGATACCATGGCGTGGCCGACTTTTATTCAAACAATACATACCTGGAAAAGCACACAAGTACGGTGTAAAGATGTACAAATTAGCAGCGACCAATGGTTATGTTTGGAATTATGTAATTTATACCGGTGAGCAAGATTCAACGGCAGGTGTCGGACATGCTCAAACAGTAGTAATGAAACTATTAGATGGTCTTGATGGATGTTATCGAACCGTCGTAGCTGATAATTTCTTTACCAGTATTTCCCTGGCGGAATGTTTGTTGGAACATGATACATATCTCATTGAAACATTACGAACGAATCGTGTTGGATCAGGAGGTAGAGTTCTTGAAGAAAATCTTAGTCGTGGAGAAGTTTGTGGACTTCAGAACAAAGATGGAATTAAATTAATTAGGTGGCGAGACAAGAACGATGTCTTGATGATATCTACAAGACCGTCACATTCAGCAACTGTAGTAGATAGTGGAAAATTAAATTTTCAAAATGAGTCGATCATGAAGCCCCAAGTCGTATTAGATTATAATAAAGGAAGACAAGGCACTGATTTATCTGACCAGTTATCAACATATTACACGTCTCTCAGGAAATCAGTAAAATGGTACCGAAAGGTAGCATTTGAATTAGTTTTTGGGACGGCACTAGTAAATAGCTATTTGATATACAAGGAGAACTACATCGAAAGCAAAGTGACCATCTTGCAATTCCGTGAAAATCTTGTCCAATCTTTACTGCTTGGCACGCCGATCGAGAAGCTGAAACATGGCTCCAGGCAACAACCAGCAAGGTATTCGAAACGCAAATTCGCTGATCACAAGCTCGAAGAAAAGGAAGGATCTACGCGCAATGTTGGTAGACGGTGTACTGGCTGCTATGCGAAGGAAAGGGCAGAACAGTCAAGACAAGCGAGCAATGCAGCAGCAAAGAAAGTCAAAACATTCTGTTCTGACTGTGATAAATTTTTTTGTCTCGAGTGTTTTAATGATAAGCATTATGCTATCGAATAAAGAATTCAAACAAAGTACTGAAGACAGAAGATATGACAGCTTACGTCTAATCTCCTGCTTAAAAAAAAGCAAAAGAAAGTGCTTTTCTATACGATTTTTCGTTAAATTATAGCGTCGCCCACCGGTGGGCGACGTCGGGTCGAATGTGTTAAAGAGAATTGCAGCCAAAATGCTTGAATTCTAGCGGAGATATAACAGGTGCATTATTTTCTTCAAGTGTTTGAATAGCTTAAAATGTCATAACATACCAGAAAGTACCTAATGTGTTTTTTAATAATCCATATGAATACATTTTTTCTATTGATGGTATAAACAGAGATATTCTTTTTTGATAAAATGATATCTTTCTCAGTAAACGGAATTCGAGACTCGAAAAAATTTATCCCGTAGGACTCTTGTAACAAGCCATTTTTAGTAGTTTTAAAAACATTAAAATTTGTGTCTTAAACTACGTCCTAAATGCTATTCTGAATATGCATTTCAAAATATATACTTTGCTCTATCTATAAGTGAAAAAGTTAAGCTTCCAGCATTTTCCGTTCGAACACAACAGAGCTTGATATTTGTACAGATATTTATGCATCATAATTTAGTATCAAAAAACGTATTTTCTAATTGCGCTGATGAAAGAATTCGAATATGTTGGTCTTTTCGAGAAAATAAAATGTCCAGAATCTATACCTCATATTACCTTGTCACTTCTATTCATTGTTTAGTACAAAATTCTTGAATATTTTTTCAACAAAGAGCATGTTTCGATAAGAACATTCTTTTTGTTCATGCTTTTTTCGATTTTTTCCAATTGGAGAAGTATTGTAAGGTTGTTAGGAGTTTTTTCCATCACTTATTTTCACGCTATTTCAATATGACCTTATAGATTCCTGGAGTATTTCCTTGGAGTTTTAAAAAACTTTTTTAAAATCGCTGCAAAACTATATATACTAGACGTGATTTTTCATAGTGATCGCGAATATCGTATTTAAAGTCTAAAACGATCAGGTTTTAATAGAGAATAATACATACCACTAATAAATTGATCATTCAGTAGTTTTTCCTCGCATAACTCGTTTTTTATGTAGAAAATATACCTAAACATTAGGTTTATTTTCTAAAATATAAAATATTTGAACAAGGGTATCATATATACAACTCGACGCACTTTTTCATGTACTATCCGAATATCAATTTAAACTAGCAAAAAAAAATGTTCATCAGGTTTCAAGACACCTTCTGAAAAATCGACCTCAGAACCTTAGAGAATTAAGACTTTTCAGCAACTCTATTATGTTCGACATATCTTAAAACTTCTAGCCTTACGTCGATCTTGTCAATTGACATTCACAATGTTCTAATAGATTGACCAGAAAGCCAACTTTTATCTTAGATTGAAGCAGCTAGTATTTTGCATGATAGAGTCAGATAAAAGCTGTGACATATGGTGAACACAATGGCATTGCCAAAAAGCCTAGATTCTCTAAGATTCCAAGACTGGTTTTGTATAGAGCCTCTGCAAATCAGATATACATCAATTTTTTGTGCTGGTTTGAATTGCTATTCGGATAGAATATGAAAGAACTGCGTCTAGCTTCCTG